TTAAATTTCCATATAGTAATATTTATCAATATTTTTCTTCATCGGCTCTGTTTTTTTGCCATATTGTCACAACTGACTCCCCGTGTGTTTTGATAATGGAAAAAATCAGAGACAGGAGACATTATAATAAGGTGGTATAATAATCAGTAGTGGCTCTGGCACAGAACTCCATTGTTTTAACATTCTAATTTAGCATTCTAATTCCAAACTTTTTTTTTTCTGCATTTTATTATCTTTAAATACAGCCTTTACTCCCAAAATGAACTGTGAGGCAAATTCTTTCTCAAATTTAGATGAATCAGCTTCAGAGAAAAAAATAAATAAGTAGAAAAACAAATAGGAAAAAAACACAAAGATGGAAGATATTGCTGCTTCCCAGCATGATAGAACCTTAGTAGTAGCAATCTTATAATGTACCTGTACCCTAGAAGATGCCTGTCCAGCTACTGACTGAAACACAATACAGGTTGCCTCTTAATTGCAGTCCTAGGATTCTTTTCACTTTGCTCTAGGAAAAAAAAAAGGTAATCCATCTTACCTCTTGATGATGATAAGCATGTGAATATAGGTCAAACACACATTTTGCTTTAGTTATAATAGCAACCAAGAATCAAACTTGGCATAACATTTATTATCATAGTTGGATACCTGCATCCTGTATTTCAGAATAACACATGCCCTATATTATATCTGAATTTATTCTGTAGATTTATCAGCCATAATTCAAGCTGATATGGGTCTTTGGGTAAATCAACACATTTACTGATTATTTTAAAAAATCAAATAAGACTTTGTAAAAGACCCATCCTTTCTGTAGGAATGAATACTCTTCTATTTAGAGTGACCCCCCAAAATACTGGAATTGATGCACAGCCAGTTTATGAGTATATAATGTGTTTTTATTATTTAATCAATCATCTCTGGTAGTTATTCCTTTTGTTTGCCTACTTAATAGATTTGAAGTATGAGTGCTAGGTTCAGGCCAATAAGCCTCTTTTGTGGTTTACAGCTTTGCTATCAGTTTCCTCACTTCAGTGCATTAAAAAAGGGGGAAAAAAAAGGTGAGCTTATGTGAGTGACCACTCAACTGTGGCTGCAAGTTCTCCATACTCACCATCTCACTTCCCAGAAAGGGAACTAGAATAGAACTGGACTGAGTCAAAAAAAAAAAAAAAAAAAAAAGAATTGGACTGCGTCTATCACTTGTGCTCTTCTCTCTCTCTCTCTTTCTCTCTCTCTTTTTCTCTGATGTATATAGGCCTAGAAGGACAAACTCAAAAAGAAACAGGGTTCTAAGAAAACATCTTTCATATGCATTCTGTGCCCCGCTGTAGCTTTTCAGTGACTTCATGGTGGTGATATAAGGCTCTACTTGTATAAACTTAATTGGAATAAGTAATAATTTATCTTAGTTTTATGTCCTCTTTTATTCCCCTTTAATATGTTTTGGTGGCTATAAAATTTGAGGATGAGTAGCTAGGGGTTAGAGCCAAGTGTACTGCACATGGATGCTTAATAAACCTCCATGCCCTGCTAATGCACTCCTGGCCTGAGATGCTGCCTCCCACACTCTTTCTCTTCTTGTCTATCAGTGAGTGTGTTGTTCTGATATTCTGATTCTCAAAGACATTTCAGAACATTGAAATTAGCCCATCCCGGCAATGAGCATTTCCACGGGTACATTTATACAGTAGCTTTAAATAGATGATTTAAAAATGTACTTTAAATCCCACAGACAAAGTTGAAAGTTTGCGATTAAGGGAACTCACAGAGCCATGAAACATGATTGCAGCTGCTTTTCCTGGGGGTTGGAGGGGGGGGGGGTCACTTGGTATCCAGAAACAATAAAAACAGTTCTTAGTAGTGTCTATATTACTAAAAAGTATAGCTTAAACTTTTAGTTATTCCTACTCAATTTGTATTATTTTCAACTTACTTTTACTTGAGTTTCATACCAGAAAAATTCAGTTACTTAAAAAAAAAAATTAAGACTACTTAGCATTGATTCAATTATTTTTAATAACATAGCTTGTTAGCTGTTTTATTTTGGTAGTGTCTTATTACCAAAGGAAATTACATGAAAAAAAAAAAAAAAAAACACTGCTTCTTAAAGCCTGCCATGCTGATTTGAATCAGCAATGCACGTGTTCTTTAGATGTTCTTCACGGCTGGAGAAGAAGATTGCATGGCAGCCCGGGACAAAGCGCCATATGGCTGGGATAAGGTGAATGTTGATAAAGGCACATGAAGGATGGGAGGGGAGATGTCACAGCTTGTCAGTCTTTATCCCTAGAGGAAGCTCTGGTGACAGGGGAATGATTGAAATGGCACATTTGGGGTCCCTGGGCATGGAGAAGGGATAAATAATGACTAGCAATTCAATGACATAGACTCAAGGGAAAGATGGAAACAAAGGGAGCTGGGGACTGGGTAGAAACAGAGCTTTCCTACAGTTGGTAAAAGATGCCAGGAAGCGACATTGATGAGAAAGATGATTAAAGGTGGCCTCACAAAACCTTGAATAGTGACAGATGGGAAGGGTAAAATGATTAGTAAGAAAATATAGAGAAAGAAGAGACCTGATATGAAGTACATTCTTGTCGAGGTAGACATGCGGGTGACAAAAGGGAAAACAAAGGATGAGTTTTCTCTGCGACCTGATAAAGGAAATAGAGAGAGGTAGTGAGGTGACCAAGTCCTATCCTTGCATGGAGGAAGCACCCTTGTCCCCGTCTCACTTAACCTATCAGATTTAGCCCTAATTGTTCCCAGAGCCTTTCCAATAGGGATCCTGGATTTCCAACCAGATATCATGGAACCGGGCCAGCAGAAGCAGACTTTCTGCTTTTTGGATCTGAAGACAGATAAATAACAATAACCATTCACTGAGTATATGTCATATGCCAGGTACTATGAGCAGCCCTTTCCCATTTTACATCATCACGTAGCCCTGCATGTCAAATAAATTGGATCAGTGTTTAAATGTGGAGGGTAGGGCTCAGAGAAACTACATAGCTTTCCAAGTCGCATAGTCACAGAGTAGCAGAGCAGAGATCCAACCCCCCCCCCCATTTAATTGTAATTTTCTAGTCAGATCCACTTTTTACATAAATGAGGGACTAGCCACCTTCCCAAGCTGCCTGAGGTCTGCTCCACTTTGGATAAACTCTTTTAAAAAGTACCTTCATAAATAAAGTGAGAATAAAGAATATAATTGGTTCACACGTGTAGACTGACCAGTTTACCGGATATTATTTTCCTCTCCCTATGTCTTTTGAAAGACTTCAAACTCTGAAAGATGTAGTTATCTCTGTTGATATGATATTACTCTCCAGAATTTCTTTTTTCATCTTATATCTTTGTGTGGCCATAGGTAATTCTTCTTACCATGCAACCTTGTCCTGGCAAGTCTCTTTGATATATGGTTTGGGGATAAGAATCACACTTCCTATAACAGATCCCCAGGTTCTTTTCTGGTTGTGTAGGTCAGCTCAGACTTTTCAGGCTTCTATTCTGCTTCTTAATGAAAGAATTATTTCTCTTAGGAATCATTCCTATACGAACACATCTTTTGCATTATTTGGCACATATTTGGATTTTAGGAACATGTTCCCCTCTCATTTGGTCTGAAATGAAATAGTCTCATCATAAATATACATTCCCTTGGAATCTTCCTGAGAGTTCAGCTTTTTAATCTACTTTGTAATTTATTAGCAGAGTAATAATGATTAACATGACCAGCTTATAGTAATAGCTCAGTCCCCTCCCAGTACATAATCTCAAATACCCGTTTTTGAGGGTTCTGAAAGGGGATTTTTAAAAAGATTTTTATTTGCTTATTTCAGAGAGAGAGAGAGCACAAACGGGGAGGGGCAGAGGGAGAGGGAGAATCAGACTCCCTGCAAAGCAGGGAGCCTGAAATGGGGCTCAATCTCAGGACTCTGGGATCATGACATGAGCCAAAGGCAGACATTCAACCAACTGAACCACCCAGGTGCCCCTGAAAGGGAATTTTTTAGCCAAAGTCTTAACATTAGAATTTCACAAGTTCGCCGTACCTTTCATTTAGCTAAGACTACAAGAATGCATTGGATACCTAGGATGTCACTAAATGTATGGTACTAGATTTGGCTATTAGAGTCATAAACTGTAGACTTGGCTTCTACTCTTACAGAATATGTAATTTGGCATAGGATACCAAAAAATGACTAGACCATTAGAGTTCCATGTAGGAAATTTCCAGAAGGGACTTCTCCTAGTCCTGTGAAGGTCCAGAGCTAGAGGTTCCAAAATCAGGGTGGGAATCAGTGAGGTGTTACCTGAGCAGAAGTCTGAAGAAGCAGTCCAGGTCAGAGAAGCAGAGCCATTGGAGGGAGGTATTCCAACTCAGGTTGCAGCACACAAAAGTAGCAGAGGTGAAAGCATGAGGTTTTCATGGACCTGATGGGATCAGTGACCCCAGAGACCTTCCCCTGCATCCTTCTCAGGCTTACCCCTGCCTGAGACAACTAAGAATGTAGAACTGGGATGTAGAGGAGCAATAGGAGAGGTGGGAGGAGACTGGTCCTTGTCGGTGAAGCTGGGACAGGGAGATTACTCATTACGGAGCTGGCTTTCCTTTCTGGAATTGGGAGATGGATTTAAAAAGGCCTTCATGCAATGATTTATGCATCGTAATCCCTCCATGAATATTGGATGGATTAATGATTGGATACATAAATTGATTTACCAAAGGAAATTTCATAGCACTACTACTATGATAGTTTGTAAAATGATCAATTAAATAGGATTCTGGGAACAGAATAGAAATGGTCTAGTGAGAACATGTGTTCTGATTTCTAAACAACCACCCTACTGAAAATTTAGGATGGAATTTAAAAGAGACTTCTTGTAATTGTCTTATATGTATACACCTTACGTCTTAAAAATAGTTCCCCATTCTCTTAGGGAAAAAACTATAGTTTAAATATGGTTTTTATTGTTGTTCTTATTGTTGTTTTGTGGGATGCACCATTCCAGGAAGTACTACAATACCAGGTCAATGTGTGGAGTGGGTGGAGCAAGCTCTTATTCCATCTCCTGCTCCAAAAATCCATTTAACACATTGTCCTCTTACGGAGGATGTATTAGATATTAAACTGATAAGAACAGATACTATACTTGATCTTAGCTAAAAGGCCGAGAAGCAATTAAAAATAATTCTTCACTTCAAGCACAACAGTAGGAACTTAGACATTCAATAAATATTGATTATTCCATTTTAGATACTAACCCACTACGTTCTTTTATGTAATTTTTAATATTTAATGAAATATTATGGAAATCATTAACTTTTATCTCATATTAATTTAAAATAAAAAATGGTTTCAAATCATTATTATTTTAAAATTCATATTTCTTAGTTTTACTGAAGTTCTCAATATACTAGCTCGAAAGCCATGATTCTTTGAATATTGAAAATACCATGAAATTGTAGGAAAAAAGTGCTATTCTTAATAATCACAATCTTTTACAGCTGAGCTTCTTTTTGGTAAGTTCGCAAAATTACTTTGTAAACTATATAACATTATATCAAAATGTAAATTTTGTCCACTTCTTCATTTTGACAATTAAAAGCTAGAGTTTGGGATCAAAGGAACAATGATAAGAAAAAAATACAAAAGGAAAAGGAATCGAGTTTGCCCTGAGAACAGTTAAATGTTCCTTTAATTTTACTAATGTCATCTATTTATATTTTACTTAAATATGAAGGCTAATAAGGAGATGCAGCAAATAAAACATCTAGTTGATCTGGCGACTACATTTATAGTATTTTCGTTAATAATATGGAGAATGACAAGGAAATAAGCCTATTAGTTGTTTGATGTTTAACGCAAATTAAATATTTTATGTGTTTGTGAATACATCTTATTATCGTTCATGTGCCTCATAGGGAGTGGAGGTCAGGGAGTTCATAAACTCAGGGAAAAATTAATGCCTGTAAACATTACATCGTAAAATTCTAAGAGAAAAAAACTCTCTGGTATCTAGACAGACCATGGCTTTATAGAAAAATTAACCCAAGAATGTAATTGTTACCAAGGCTATTGCAATGGCATCATGAAATAGTATTAGTACCAGTACCAGCAGCAGCAGCAGCAGCAGCAGTAGTAGTAGTAGTAGTAGTAGTAGTAGTAGTAGTAATAGTAACTAGTAACTTAAAAAACTAAAACTATTTTTTGGAGTTATACTATTTTCAGAAATCACTTCCTTTTCCTGGATTTTGCTATGATTGATTGATTGATTGATTGATTTTAAATATTTTATTTATTTATTCATGAGAGACACAGAGAGACAGAGACACAGGCAGAGGGAGATGCAGGCTCCATGCAGAGAGCCCGATGTGGGGCTTGATCCCAGGACCCTGGGTTATGACCTGACCCAAAGGCAGACGCTCAACCACTGATCCACTGAGGTGCCCCTGATTATTTATTTATTTATTTTAGAGATTCTTAAAAACAAAAACCAAAAACCAAAAAAACACTATGTTATAGTATGGTAAATTTGCTTCCTCTTCTCCATGACAACAGATAAAGAAGCTGTAACCATGGCAACAGTAATGGGCCGGGGAGATTAGGGCCAGCCTGGAGATTAGGCCTCCTAGAGCAAGAAAAAAGTCCTGATTGGTTCCTTATTGAGACCTTATGTGAAGACGAGTTACTGTTGAGAGAAAGCATGGAGGATTAGTAAGAACAAAATTAATTCCCTGTATAAAGAAAGGAGCCATCCCTTTGTTAAAAATGTGTCTGCTCCTTTTCAAACGAGGACTGTTTAAATTGAGGTAAAAGAGTTCATGATTAATTCTATTCTGAGATTTATCTGTGTCATCTGCGTCTAGACTAGCTCTGTGAGAAGGCACTCCTGGAGGCCCGAAGAGAAAAGCATCGTGCACAGACCCCCATTGCTCTCCTTCTTGGCAGCCCCTGAATAGGTGGGGAAGCCAATGCAGTTTTGATGTGATACCATCTCTAAATTAGGTGCCTTTAGGGAAAAAAGGAATTGAAAATTTTTCACCTGTAGTTTTAAAACTAATTTGTCTAACTTCTTGAGGATTCTCAAAAGATTTTTTCAAGTCACCATTGATCACATTTTATTTGTATAGATCTTTTGTAAAAAAAATATATATATATATATAATGATGATCCCATTTGCTTTAAATTGGTAAGGTGTGTAGGTGTTAACATTTTGAGAAAATGAGCTATGATTTTGCAAGGATACATAGATAAAGGGGTTACTTTTTTTTTAATGATAAATGTATAGACCTGAGAATGGTCAGATGGTATGAATATTTTTTTTAAAGGATTTTGCCAAAATAACTGCTAAAAAGCCGACTCTTAGAAACTTCAACTGACAATGTAAGAGAGTGTCAGTCACATCCTGGCCAACCTTAGATATTAACATTCTCTAAAGTCTTGCTTCTCTGACCGATTTTTTTTTTAATACATTTGATTCTGACAGACATTTTAGATTTATTTTAATGCACACTTTGTTTACTGTCAGGTTGAGCCCTACGATTCTAAAAATAATAATAATAAAAAAATAAAATCAGATTCTTTATTATTTTATTGATTTTTTTTTACTTTTTTTGTATAGTAGATATTAACTATCACCTGTTGGATATTTTGCAAATACTTTGGGTCATTCTTTCCAGAGAAGACAACACTAAACTAAGTGAAGAGGGACAGCAGGAGTTAGGTGGATGAGATGGGTCTCGAGTGGGAGTAGCTCTGGGAAGGCTTTGGGGGGTCGCCAGGGGACCTACATGGAGAGAGCTTGATTAATACAAGCAGGAAAAAGCCAGGGAGCCTACAGATCCTTTGTCATTCTTAGGTGTGATGATTGGGTGTTCATGCTTTTGTGTGACCTGTGCCTCCTTCAAACTGTGTTAAGAACTCAGCATAACACTCAGCACTCATTCCTCATCTGACATGGAGGAGAAAAGCCAGGGAACCTCCATGTGAGCTTCATGAAGGATGCCTCATCTATTTTTGCCTTTGTCTCCTCTGTACCTAGAAGGGCTGGGGTTGGGTAGGCACTTTATGAATATTTTTTTTTGGATGAGTGGATCTACTGGATGCTGCTTACTGTGGAAATCTTGCAAGCCTCTCTCCAAAGTGGTATTTTTGTGGCAACAGGAACATACTAGGCTATTATGCAGGATGGCCCTTGAAATCACCTCAATCAGCGGTGGAGGAGGGGTGGATAAATACCTCCGTCTGCTTCCCTCAAGACAGATAACCTAGAGGCCTGTGCCACAATGGCCCCAGAGTCCCCAGTAGAGTTGCTTTCCAGTTTCCCACAGTGCTAACTGCCAGATAAGTCACTTTTCCTAGGCTTCACTTCCTGCCATCTCACTTCCCACCTTCCCAATCATTTGCATGTAAATCCTTTTCTTAGGGCCTCTTTGTGGAGGAAGGCAGACCAAGAAAAGTGATAAACAGGAGCCAGCCCAGTAGGCCCATTTCAAAGTTTGGAGATTCCTTGAGGTAAAGAGTAGACACTGAGGATAAATAAATATTAGGTAGTATGAACAAATGTGTCCTCTTATAAGCTTATTCCGGATGCTGTACACAGAATACATTTGAGGGGGATGAGTGGAAAGGAAGCAGAGGCACTGGAGAAGACAGAAGGATGGTGGAGTGGAGACAGAAGGATGGTGGCAGTGGAGGGAACACAGAGTAGATTTACCAGATGTCCGGGGGCGGGGGGTAGTCCTAGAAGGGATGACCTAGAGGCAAGGGTAGGGGATACCCTTTGGGTTTCTGGGTTGTACAGTCACGAGGACGATGTATACAAGTGAGTTGAGCAGCCTGGGAGGAGAAGTAGGCTGAGTGGACAGTGACGGGGGTGGGGAGGATAAATTCACATAAGCGTGCTAGTTTGAGATGTCCAGGTGTGTAGAAGTACAGGGTTTTGTCAGGAGGTTTAATAACACCCATATTTTTAAGACAGATACTACATATCCAGGCATCAATCTCTTCCCTCTCCTCACCACTCTGCCACAAAAGATGGACTCACTTGCTTCTAGCCTGCCATTTGTTTCAAATACTGTGTTGATCAAAAACGAGGCTTTAAAACCTCTTTCTCTGTGCAACTGGTTGTGTATTGTCAATTGATAATGTTTCTGGAGCTATTGGGGAACGAGATAGGCCCCCTCACCCCAGGGGACTTTCCAGCTAACAGGAGTGTAGTGTGTAGCAGGAATAGCGATTCAGTCTGCCTCTGTAGAAAGTGAATGCAAGGATGGAGACTAAGTTTGGAAAGAACTAGAGAAAATAGCCCACAAAAGCCAGTTTGAAGATTAAATGTACGCAAATGGGTCCTTGTGATTTGGGGCTAGAAATCACCTGTCAAAATGAATGTGTATTCCCTGCCCTTGGGAACTTGAAAACATAAAATGAACTATGAATGCGCACACACACACACACACACACACACACACACACACACACACATTTAATAGAAAGTTCTATTACAGATTATAAATGCCCCAAATATTTATAAAACTAATTCTTCAACTGTGGATGACTTATTCCTGTGATTAACAATTGTTAAATTTAGCTGTACCTACAGTGATATCCTACAAGCATGGGGCGAGCATCTTATGTCTGGTAGAAGAAGGGTTTTTTCTATCAGTTCCTTTCTAGCGGAAAGGAAGAGTCTGTGAGAACTCTTTCTACTTTTGGTTTGCTTCCATACTTTGATTTGCTGTTCCTTCAAGTTGTATCTAAAACACAGTAGTCAGGCTCTGAGTAGAATTTGGTTTTGTGAAAACTGCTCGGTTTCCTGAGGCATTTATCCCTGTCTATGTCTAAACAGAACATTTTTAATTGTTACGGATCCCATGAGTAAAGGAAATTGGACAAATATGCAGTAAAATCGCATGTCATTAGTTAGCTACCCTCTCATAAGCTCCAAGAAATTCTAGTATACCTTTTTTTTAAAGATTTTATTTATTTATTCATGAGGGACACAGAGAGAGAGGCAGAGACACAGGCAGAGGGAGAAGCAGGCTCCTTGCGGGGAGCCCGATGTGGGACTCGATCCCGGGATCCCAGGATCACACCCTGAGCCAAAGGCAGAGAGGCTCACTCACTGAGCCACCCAGGCATCCCTCTAATATACCTTTGATTCCATTTACTGATTGTTTG